TCATTCCACTCTTTCCACTGACATGTGTAAACAACTATTTTACCAAAAAAAAAATAAGAAAGGTTGTTTTCCAACACACTAAAGACAATGTATTTGTATACTAAGACACAAGCCTGTAAACATTTGCAACTGTAATTATGTAATTGATTAAAGGCACAATCAAAGTGTTTTTTTAATAAATAACATTGTTTGGTCTATCACATACTATAAGGGTCTATGTGAACCAACAGAAAGATATAACATGGACTCGTAAAATCTAACATTTAGATTAACAAATTAACAAATATACAATATAACTACTCTAGTATGTTTTACCATGTACACTGCATGTAAATATATTAGGCATAACCAAAACCTTTGGCGTTTGCAATACCAAATTCCATAGCATTCTTGAATTCATCGTATGTATTGTGAACAACTGGTAAGCCAAGAATACCAGCACAAGTATTGGCCTTTGGAAACTTTGAATGCATTTCATCTGCTTCTTTCTCATGAAGGAATTGTACTCCCAGTTGCAAACCGAAAACAAACTCACAACAGCCTGTGCTGAACATAAGAATTTGTGCAAGAGTTAGCTGAGATTCACTTTCTTCCACATCTTGTAGAAAATCTGCCCAGTGGGCAAGTACTCTGCTTTCTACATTATATGCATTTAATTCATTTTCACTTCTTGTTATAACAACCTTCTCGGATACTGCAAATGTCGCAGCAGTGAGTGGTACAGCCTCATAACAAAATGCTGGCTTGAAGACAGAAGGATACTCTTGGATTGCTGCCAATATACCAAGGGTAGAAAGACCATTCTTGAATTGGTCTAGAGCTGTTTTTGTTCTCCCAAATACATGTAGGTACCATTTGATAGTGTCCCGAATAATAGTGTCCTTGTCATCTTCACTTTGAATGTGCTTCCATGTACCTGCAAGTTCTAGTAGATTTTCTAGCGTTCCGCTTATAACACTGTTTGCTTCTTCAACATTAACATTCTTCAGTTTGAGCAAATCTTCTTTCACTGCAGAACCTACAGGAAGATCTTCTGTTGTAGGTTTTACTGACTCTGTTCCATGTACTATCACATTGAAAAAATGGTCTGCAAAACAGTGGGGTGCAGGACCTCCATGAACCAATGACATAGCATTTATTTGGCCTACCAAATAATATTCATTTTCATCAACACATTTACTAATGCATGTAAGAAACTTAGTAGTTGAAATACCATCTAACAGATGGGATCCTACAATATGGTTCATAGTCAAAGTCAACATTTCCCGCATTGGGCCACCTTCATCAACAGCACCTTCTGAAGAGCCCTCATCATGGGTGAATTTAACAGAGATTTTGTTAAATAGACTGAATGATTTGCGTTTGAGTCTTTGACACAATCAAATAGCTGGTTTCTTGAAATGTTAAACTTTGCATCATGGTTAATTTGTTCAGCTAAGTTGCTCAATATATCCTCAAGTGGTATGTCTTCAACCGATGTTTGAGATGTTTGAGCTTCTTCTGTATCAGATATGTGACAAACTTCTTCATCTCTGAATAAGAAAGCATACACACCATCAGCACCATTTTTATCGTATGCACCTGATGGTCCAGGCATAATAGTGTTTGCAGAAACAGAACACGATGGTGATGAACATTCTGTTCTTGTAGTTGATTCTTTTCTTCTAAGCTTTCTAGATTGTGGATACTCATCTATTATATCTTCCACAATGGTTCCTGTATTTTCATTCAATTGCTGTGTTATTAGTCGAGCATCATCTGGTCCACTGTCATTCTCTTTCCCAGAAACCTCATATACTCCTTCAGAGATGTTATAGTCTTCCTCTGTGCAGAGATACATGCACATCCTCTGGTAACCCTTCCCAAGTTCCTTTTTATATCGGCACGTAGAAAAGAATTCTTTACTTTGCTGACCAGGTATAAAGGTTGCTTGTGAACCATCTTCTAACAACAGTAAATATGTCTGACCTTCCTGGATGTCACTTCTTCTGAAAGCTTTCCATTTGTTCAATCCATGTTCAAGAATTGAATACTAATTAGCATCTCTCTCTATTTTAATTGGTGGGTGCTTACCCCACCTAGGCTTCAACTCGCACTTCTTTTCATCGAAATACATGATGCCAACATTTATACTGACTATTTCTTCTTCATCACATATTTTCCTTTTCTTCCTTTTGGATGATATTTTCCGAAAAGCTGTTGATGTTTTTTCTCGTTTGAATGTTTCAAAAGACTTGATTTTTCCAAACTGTGGCTTTTCGTTTACTTTATCATCTGAAATAATATTATAAATAAGTGAAATAATGAGATATAATAGTTTTAATTAAATATGCAAACGTTTATGTCGTTTGTTAATGGTTTAATTAGTATGGAAATTATGTAGTTAAATATTTGCGACTAGTACTGAGGTTTTAGAGATATCACAGAAACAAGCTTTGTATGCCTATAGACACAGCTTATATGCATAAACACAGGCAGCACTACAGCTGAAGTTAAACACACAGTATTTGTGTATAAATATGAGGTAATGCATATAAA